GGGGCAGCGGCGCGTGGCATTGGGAGCAGAGGGGCAGAGTCAGGGCGGAGGAAGAAAGACGTGGGGTGGGGTGGCGGCTGAAGGGGGGACACTTGCAGGAGCCAAATCCCACCCCTCACAGCCAGGCGAGGGAGCTGGGCCCTAGACTGGCTGGCACCCGCCGAGGGCCGCCGCGGCCCGTCAATCACAGGCCCACATGAGGGATCTGCCGCCGAGAGCAACGCGGAGGGGAGGCCCAACGGCCGGCCTGGACCAGGCTGGGGGCGGCCCAGCCCAGTTGGGCACACCTCGCGGCCGGCTAGGGTTGCCCCTGCAGCCGCCGCCGACGACGGTGCGATGACCGGCCGGCGAAGGGCGCTCTAGGGCCGCGGGCAACTCGGGTCGGGGGAGAAGCGAAGACGAGAGGAGCCGAAGGTTGCGATGAATGGGCGGAAGGGAGAGCGGCGGGAGATCACCGGAGGGCCGCAGTGCCATGTCGGCGGGGACGCGGACGAACCGGCCAGAACGAGAGCTGCCTAGGGCCTCCACGACGAACTGGCGGGGCCAAGGTCAGCCCGACCAGCGACCCCCCAGCCAGCCGAGTGGAGGCGGTGGCGAGCCCCCCCAGCACGCAAGGCGTCGCCTTGCCCCGCGGGCAACCGAGGAGAGCTCGGCAGCTGGCGACGGGGCCGAGCTCGAGCGCGGGCAGCCGAACTCCCGCCCCTGGGAGTAAAGCCGCCGACGGCACGAAGGTGCGGCTGGCAAGCCGGAGCAAGAGGGGGCACGCGGTCGTGACAGACGACGGGGCGACCAGCAGCGACGTCGTCATCTTCCGCCCAAACCACCCGAGAAGGGAGGGGGGTGGGGCATCAGCGGGGACGACGGCCGCCGGGGACGGGGGCGGGAAGGGCGGAGGCGTCACGTGGGAGGCCGCGCCGAGCGCATTGCCAGGAGGTCGCTAGAGACGGGGTCGCAAGCGCTCGCCTCCATCAGTCGTCTGTTGCATATGCATGTCTAATGTTTACGGAATGCCCGGTTGCAGTCTTGCGGACACAAAGCACAAATGATGTTTTTTTCCAGTAGAAACTACTAGCACCTTTCACATTTCTAGACTGTTGAATTGAATTTCTGATGATTTGTGTGGATGTCACGCCACAGACACCATTGATGCGGCCCATTTGTTACCATAAATTTTGTGATTAAAAAAATTTTCATGGGCGGTACTGGGCGCCGGCGTGCCGGCCGAAAGTTTCGGCCGATCGCACCACGAGCGTCTGATCTACATGTGCGCAGCCGTCAGATCTGTCCCCTAACGTTCCCTTCGCCAACCTCCCGCACAGGAAAAAAGAAGAGGAAAAAAGAGCGCCGCCCCCGCCCGGGCCGACAGCCCCGCCTATCTCCTCG